CTCTGTGCAGATGGCTATATTGGGAACTTGCAGGAACTTGCTATGAAGAAATACCACTTATCTAGTCTCCAGATTGTAAGTCCTATCTATTCTGTTTTCGACGATTCCAACTCATTCCCTCGAAATCCGCCATTTCCCTGCTGACTGAAACACCTAGCTTGGTCTCTACCTGTGAATGGGACACCGTAAGAGGGAGGTGTGCAAGAGGGCCTACGTTAGTCTTCCTTTTCAGGGATCGGAAGCTACTATTTTTGGATACAGAAACGCCTTAACTGTCCCATCGCCAGTTCCTGTTTTCTTAATTTGAATTCAGCAGTATCAATTTGAGACCATACCTGACGAACCCTTCATCCAATGATTAATCCAATTTTTGGGAACAAGTCATCAATCTAGCCTTATCGCAAGATTAAATATAGGCGTTGCTTTTGGCCTCGGAGGTCCGGTCTAGAGCTCACGCAAGCAGTCTCATAGCGACGATTAGTCGATAGGCAAGGAGAATTACTGACAAGGAAGAACTCAGTCACCCACTATACCCGAGTCCACACGTCAGGTTTTCCCGGTCTGCATTTCGACCCTGACTGACTGTCTAACAGCGGTAAATAAGCCGGAAGCGTTCTTTTACGTCTCTCGTATTGTTGGTAATACTCTTGGATAAACCAAGCTTGTTATTTACGCTAAGATGTTGAAGTGTCCCATTTGAAAGAGTCATGTATCGCCCACAAAAGTAGAGTTCTAAACCATACTGAAGCAGTAAAACGTCTGCATGCAGAACGCGGCCCTCTCTGTTCTCTGCGAGTCCAAGCTTAGGATAAGAGGGGCGTCTGTTTGCGCTTTCGCCTTCGATCCCGGGGCCCTCATAGGGGAATTGTGTTTGCTCTTTCGCCAACTCCATTCGCTTCTGCTCCGTAACATGCATGGGCCTTTTATAACCTACAGGACAGAGTGAGTGGTTCAACTTTTCCGAACTTGTCTCTCTGACATGTTGAGCCACGTTTATTGCGCGAACCTTATCCTTTCATGCACCATGAACTTCGTCTACCTTCCTTAGGAACCTTTTTTCTTCCTTCCAATCTGATATTTAGAGGTCAAAGCTGTCCGTGTGTCAAATCTCAAATTCTGTCGTCTTTGAAGAAGCGCTCTTAGGAGCATCCACTATGTGTGAATATCTCCTAAAACTGGTCTTAAGATTGTATAGTGCAGGCTTCTTAAGACACCCTTTATGCAAAGCGGTCTGAAGACATACAACAGTCCACGAACTTCGTGGACAGCAGACCTACGGTTTCAAGCATGCGTTCAGACAGAAGAGATCGTTTAAGTGAAGTTTTCATACTGATTCGCAGATAACATTACTATAAGCAACATACTCGCTGTTTCTAAACCCATTTCCTGATCTTTTGTGTGAATCCCAACAGGAAAGAATTATTACTAAATGTAGTTTGCATTTTTGCCAGTTTCTTTTGGCGCCTTTGCCAATTTGATTCTATTTTATAGGGAGACATCAGTTTAAGCTCATTGCATACGCTCTTCTGGGGAATAGCACCTAATTCGGGTTTTTAGTCGAACGAACGTCGTACTACAGTCTCTAGAAGGTTTGCAATTATGAGCATTCTTGACACTTGTATGACTAGTCTTGTATTGTGATATCGTTGCCCCTACAACGGACTACGCGGCAGATGCGCCGGACCAACCCAGGGGCCAGATCGGAGTCCGGCAGGCGCAATCGAGAATGCACATCTATAACAAATGCCAACACTGGAGGTATGGTGGTTCGCCCAGGCGACGGCTCACGCCGCGCCCATTGAGATTCGGGCCACTTCACCTATTTTTATTGTTGTGTAAAATCCTGGTCAGTGTATGCTGTAGACCAGGTGGTGTGCTGGTACGCCTAGATGCGGCCTTTCGCCGTGCCAGTCACTTGCACCATCTCCCGCCTCCGATCTTCATGACTTTGTCTTGACACCGGACCCAAGTGGGGGAGGAGGAAAGAGTGCGGTAGATGCTGCGAAAGTCTACTCCCACTATAAACTATTTCACTCACAAGTCACCGTCCCTGATCTCACATTGCTGTGGGACACACGGTGGACATCGTCGGCAACGACAGTCGAACTGTTATTGTAATATCTACAGACACCAACATCGCTTTCAAAACATCCAACTTGATCAATTCTTATTTTAGAATTTTTCGATCACTAGACGGCTTTTTCCTAGGAAAATGAGAAAGTACATAAATCCATCAGGTCATATCTCGTGAAGTGTTAACCGAAATTCTAAAATATGTTTCCGATCCGAAAAGATTACTAAAGTTGGGTTGTAATACTAGTTATCGTACAGCATATTCACAAGACACTAGGATGTTGGCTTTTTAATTAACGTCTTTTCGGCCTTCTGGAAAAACTACACTGTAGCCGAATGACTACTTAAGTAGCATGATTTTTTCCACAAATCCAAGTGTGTTATACGGAAAACGTGCACAAAATATTCCCTCTTGTACTTATTTGGTAGCAGCTTAGGCCTTCATAGAATTTTATATTCAAAGGAAGGGCATCTTTCGGTTTTAAGGAAGTGCCTTGTTATGCGATTTTTTTAAGATTGTGAAGTGTCCACTCACACAGCATCGCATCAGCACGTTCATTAGTGCTACCTACAAAGTGTACAACCTGGTGTACATCCATTTCACATTTTATGAGTAATAAGTAATCTTATAGGATCAAAAACATATTTCGGAATTTCAGGCAAAATTTCATGAGATAGCATGTCTAACTGTATATGTGTGCTGAAGGAGACTGCCGACAAGGACATGGGAGCCTCGAACGGCCATTTCTGGCTTATTAGCCGTTCTCAGCCAACCTTGCCCAAGCCTAGGTTAAACCGCACCCGAATCCAGAACACACCTCCTTTGGTCATCGAGCGTTATCAAATCTAACGCTCTACCAATTGAGTTCCGTTCTTCTATCGGTTGCGATCAGGAATATTAACTAGGGCCGAAGTGCGTTGACCAAAGAACGCGGGTTTGAAACTCAGGTGAGTAAAGCCTGGGCCTGGACAGGGTTGGATGACGACAGCTAGCAAACCGGGAATGGCCATTCCCGTCTTCTTCTACTTTGTCAGTAGTCTCACTCTGCATATATTACTAGCCGCCTTGCGACTGCCTCGAGGCTTCTCTATTGAGTCATAAGGCACAACGGAACGAGCATGCCACGTAACTTTAGACGCAGTAAAAAACATGGTTCGTTTTTAAAAATAAAAAGGAATCAACGGACTTTAGGGGCCAAAATACACCCTTCAGGTGCACAATTAAGTAGAAGGACACACCTTCCTGTTAAATCATTTTTGCACATTTATCTTGAGAATATGGGGAAATTTGTGCGCAGGTGGCGAGAAATACGATCACTTTGCAGCCAACATGGCAGCATGTCTAAATTACTTTGTGATGATGTTGCACGTCTCGGTATTGCAAGTTCACGCGAGTAATCTTCATTGCTAGAAGGCAGGCTTGAAGAATTTGCTGATTGCCTCATGTACCTATTGTTTTGTCCCCGTCGACAGACCATCCGAAAGGCTTTCGGAAGATCTCCGTTTCAGCTGTCAATGCCTTCAAGGCAATGGCACAAAAGCTCATGTTGGATCTAATGCGCCCCCTGGAATTGGTCTTTTCAGTAGCCGAGGGTTGTAACGAGCGTGTTGACTTACAAGCGCATTACTTGTTGCACCAAGAATTCATATACGCACGCCAAAACGACAGGGTAGTAATTAGTTTTTCCTTTTTCCCGCGGGCAGTTGTCCCACAGCAATCCTCGCTACGCTTAAGGAGCTAAAAACCCCCAGATGCAAATTTTCAGTGGGTTCTATCATCATACTTAGACCTTTGCTTCTCTTCTAGTAGGAGATCTGGTGTTCGTGACGAATGCTTTCTTCTGGTCGACTGTATCACCCCTCATGAAGCCGCCGACACCGCAGCCTTTTTTCTTGACACTTCACAATTAACCAAGTATAACTCACACTTTTCTCTTCTAGCTGGCCTACTCGTATGTCAACGGATTCCTCATACTTTTCTTTTATCTCGTCGCCGGCAGTGCTCTCGTTCCGGCAATTAAGTTCGCCTCTACGGTAGGTTGTCTCGCCGCGCGGGGCGGAGCTTTTGCCGACTTCTTTGCCTTCTCATTGCCTCTAGAGTAATCGATAAGTTCGTACACATGTGCAGACGCACACAAAGGAATAAATAATGCATATGTTGAATTTTGTGCGAGTAACTGCTTTTGAAGTTCGTGAGGGCATACACAGTGCGTGACCGATCTCATGAAATGGTGGCCGAAATTCTGAACTGTGTTTTCGATTAGGAAGAATTACTTAGGTGAGGTGGTAATACTGATTATCTTGAAACCTGATTCTATCGTATGTCGGACTCCTCAGGACGTCGGCTTTTGAATGCACTCCCTTCTGACCTCCTGCGGAAACCACACTCGGCAATAAATGACTACTTAAGTAGTCGACGGTCTTATAAATTCGAATATATTTTATAGAAAACATGCACAAAATATGCTTCGTTTCACGCGTTTGGCAGAAAATCACATTGTTTTCAAATTTTATACCCGAGGAAACTGCATATTTGGGTTTTAAAAAAGTTTCTAATTATGAGATTTCTAAGACTGTGCGATGTCCACATATACAACATTGTACATGTCCGTTTACCAAGGCTTCTCATGAAATGTACAACATAGTCCGGATCCATTGAAAATTTTTTGTACTCTATATGGTATCTTCTTAAAGGCATAGAGTCATATATGATTTTCCTTACGCGGAAAGCATGCACCCAGTAGACTGACATCGCTAAACGCCAATGCAGCAACTGATCAGACTCAAAATTATTCAAGAATTGGGAAACTTTGTAAAACCGAAATATACACTTTCTTCGGGTATAAAATATGAAGACAATGTTATTTTCTACCAAAAAAAGTAAAAGAAAGCATGTTTTTTGTGCATGTATTCTATAAAAAGCATTCGAATTTCTGAAACCACCAAAAATCAATAGGAAAATGCCTGCTACATCAGTGGTGGTTTTTTTTACCGAGTATGGTTTCTGCAAGAGGTCAAAAAGAAGTGCATTCAAAAGCCGATATCCTGGCGAGTCCGAAATACCATAGAATTATGCCGCATGATAATCAATATTACAACCCCACCTAAGTAATTCTTCCTAAGCGAAACGGCATTTCAGAATCTCTGCCAACATTTCACGAGGTCGGTCACGCACTGTAAGTAGGACACCATTCTTAATTGATGGACTCTCGCACTTTGTGCATGCACCTCAAAATATTGCTTATATTCCACTCAAAGACTTTGTAAAACAGTCGCTAAAAACAGCATATCTTAAGGACTCCGTGTAATTGCATCTTTTTCGGACTACAAAATCTGTGATGGCCCACAATTGAAGTACAGTGATCCCTCCTTGATCGCGGGGTTGCATTCCACAACCCCTGCACGTATCTATTCTCCCCCTTCCCACTCTTGTGGGCGATGTAACTGGCTAGTAATTGTTGTTTGAGAAATTACTGTCCAAGACCTCCTTCTTGTGTTTATCTGTCCAGATCTCTGATTGCTTTCTGTCTCCATTCCGTACCCTAAACCTGTCAACTACTTTCATAGTACATAAACCAGGGCTTGAAATGTCTTGCGGCCGTCGGATTCCCATGCAGGAGAAAAGGGCTCAAACGCTCTAACAGAACCGCATGTGAAGTGTATAAACGGGAAAACAGGGCAGGGTATCCGTTCCTGTTTCTGTTTTAAGGCAGATAGGCAACTGTGGAATGGGCAGAATGGAAGTTTCCTGGAGTGGCTTTAATCTTCCTCTGACTGGCGGTTTTCGTGCGAGGGAGGCAAGTTCGTCTCCATTTCTTTCTTTAAGTAATTTGGCTGTATATGCACACAACCAGTTCTCTGATTTGTTTTCTTTCATCCTGCCAGCCGCGTGTTCACCAAAGTTTTGGTTACTTTAGTAGCCGCGCCAGAAAGTACGCAAGTACTGATGATCAAATGCACCATACGGACTAACACGTTCGTTATCTTTTTATAGTTAGAATTCACTCTCTTGGTCTCTCGAGCAGCCTCCACTTTTGCTCCCTTTGCACTAAATGGCAGTGCAAATCATTGCGTCCCGCCCATTTTGGCTGGTCCATCCTACTTTGCGAAATTGCCTTGCTATGGAATCTGCCACAATTCCTCTCCAGTGCATGCCCTTCTTGCCTGCGTCTTTCGACATTAAGTGGACTGTCACTTTCAGGCTCTTCCTATCATTCTGCTTCCTTCCTTTAGAATCCTATCGTCGTCTTTGTCTATGGTTCACTTTTCGCGGTCACGGGCTACTTTGGCATCCAGTTTGTGCTTCTACTGGTTCACCATTTTGGAGCCCTGCCTGCAGTTACTGGTAGGTCTTCCCGTCCCCCTCCTCCCTCCCTCTTTTTAACGTTCACTGCCCATCAGACCACTGTTATGCATATAAGTTGTTTTTGTCACCTCTTTCATAAATCTTTGCATTTGCCTCAGGGATGATGCCGGAAGATGAATGGTTGGGGTCTCGCTAAACTTGATTAGCTCAGTTGGTGTATGTCGGTAGGCCACCACTTTGGTCATTTTGAGATCGTCTTGGAGAAAAAGTTGGTCTTAGCGTCATATAGGACTAGATTGCACCTAAGAAGGATCCCGCTTAGCGGCTTTGGCGAGAAGTAATGAAGCAATTTCGTTTTTTTATATGCGCACCCCCTAGACATACTCAGTATCTTTTTTCCCACGGCTATAAAACTTGAACTTATGTGGAGTAGCTGAAAAATTCTCACCAACGATTATAAATAGCTCTCATCCCAGTGCAGTTGGTGGTGAAATAAAGCCCTGCCACCTCCAGACTTCCAGACGATTGTCGTTGCACTATCGACTAAAGAACTGACCACTGCACCGTTGATTAGAAGACTGAGCCGACGGTAGAGACAGAAAGTGTTTAGGAGTCATTGGTTGCTTTCTTATTGCCATACGACACCTGCGATTGGACACCAGGCCGTCCCGGACGACGACGACGACGACATCTACCGCTGTCCCACGAAGTGGACCCAGTAGCGGCGATTTGCACTGGAATATGCTTATACTGGAGCAAACTTGTACAGCATCTACCGCACTTCCCCCCCCCATCCCCACTCACTTTGCTTCAATAGAGGGAAAAAGTCAAGATGACGGGAGGCAGGCGTGGGCGCAACGGCTGACAAGGCTCAGCAGCCTATCCACAGGGCCTCGTTTCCACTCCAATTATACCAGACTATAATATGGCATATCAGGATGTCGCTTGGGTGATAATGCCATAAAGACTCCGTTTAGAGCAATTCATTGTAGCCTGACTCTTAGTCTGGAGGAGGATAGAGTTATCCCGTCATTTGACAACCTTCCAGGCCATGACTCTTAGGGTATCGTGATTTATTATATTAAGCAACGCTTTCATTTGCCGTTTGGATGGATGCTCGGTGTCGGCCTCGCTCCCTTTTTCCTCTCCCATACAACAGTCACGTATCCGAGTCGGGGCGCGTTAGCTGACGCAGCGTGAAAGTCGTCAGATATAGCGTGACACACGCCTGTACGGCAGCAATTAAGGGGTCACGCAAGCTCGGCGTCGCTCATTTAACTCGCTTCCGCCCATCCCCGTTTGATAAAAGAACACCTGCGATACAGTGCGTGTTGTTGGGGTGGGGTGTGTTTCTGTGTGTCTTTAGGGTGCTGTGGTATAACGGATGACTGAACTGCGGCTATTACCATGGTTTTGTATATGCGCATATGACTGCCTAGGTACGTGTGATGTCGGGATGTGCGGCTACAGCGTGAGAAGGAGAGGCGTGCATAACAGGTGTCGATGAGGGCTTTAGGGCTCGGTTCTCCAGTCGCCGTTCAAAGAATTCGCAGGTGATCCACCCGACCGATACGCGAGTCAAGTGTGTTGTCGAGGCGCGTAGAGCCTGGAAACGTGTCTACATTGCGGTTGGCGGATGAAGTAGTTGTGGTGGTCTTAGCCGTGGTGGCAATTGTAATGCGGGTGGTCACAGTAAACCATAGCTCTGGACAACGTTACCGTCGCCATTGTGGTGATAATGTCCGGGCGCAGCCAGCCTGCACTGAGGCACGGTGTTACGGCAAGGAAAGATGAAGGAGGTGACTCCCATGATGTTGCTGGTGGTAACGACATTCTGTGCCGTGACAGTTAAGTTGAGCGGGCTTTCAAGGCGTAATGCGCGGAGGCGTCCGACAAGTCAAATCCGGTCAATAGGGGTGAAGTTTTACAGGATGGTAAAAGTGCCCTTACTGGTGATGTTATTAGTGACGTTGTAAGATGCAAGGCGAGTTGGTCGTGTTGACACTGCACTGAGTCCGCAGATGTCGGACAGGGCAGTTTCGTGCTCCGAATGCCTGTTGACAATGTGGGAACGATGGCAGGGGGTGGATGGTTGCGTTGCTGGCCTACAACACTTGGGTCTTGTGAGCAACTCTTTTTGCTTCGACTGCGGCCATTCAGTTGGCAAGAAGATGTCTGCTTCAGCTCTTACGGCAGTGCGCTGGACTCGCGATTCCGTGCGGGGCCATCCCAGCTCCCAGGATTGATTCGCAGGCGCTTGGGTGAGGTTTTTGGAGTGTCCCTACGGCGACGGTCTTGTCCACCATCGGCCGTAGCGAGGTCGTCATGGACTAAACGCTTGCACAGGCATTCATCCGCTCTCATGACATGGCCGTTTTCGCGCATTTGTTTTTGCCTCATCATGGCGTGAATACTGTGGACGCCGGTTCTTCCTTGGATCTCAGTGTCTGGGATCCTTTTTGCCACCTCAGTTGAGGTTAAAATGATGGAGTTCCCCTGCTGGACTCCCGTAGACTCTCCATCTCTCCGTCCCCACCCTCCACAGGAAAGTCGTCAGGACAACAGCCTTGCACACTTCTGGTTTCGTGTTGAGGAGGATGTCTCAGCGATTTCAGACGGAGTGTTGTGGTCAGTCGGAGGACTGGCTGGCGTCATCGTCGGTCGCGAAATTGTGCCCCGGGTACGCTAATTTCTTCGCCGACGTGGAACGAGTGCCCTTGACGTTGGTCCTGGTTTCGTTATAGTCAAATGATGGCGCCGCTTGATATATGACCGTTGTTTTCTGGGTTCTGATTCTCACCTCAGAGTCGAACAGTTGGAGGCAAGGGGGCCCACGTTTCGTGCATATCTGCTTCCGTGGTAATTTGCTCACAGTTATCCATGGGCGACGAAGCATGTACACTGACTTTGGAAGCTCGCGCAGCCACCGGCATGCGTCGAATGTTGAGTATTTGTCTGTCAACTTGATAGTTCATTCTAGTTCTCGGTCAATTTCAATGCTAGGCGCCCTTCATCACGGCGGAGGACGTGAGACTAAAGAAGGTGGAAACGAGTAAACGACCCTGTTTTGCCGCGTTTGCCAAGAAGAGTGCTTCCGAGACTGACTCTTTGCCCGTACTCTGCCGTCATTCCGCCTAGTTTTCTGACTATTTATGCGGACCATTCCTGACACCTGAATTTCAGCATGATTTTCCAGAGCCCATTGCAATTTACAGCGTCGGAGGCCTTACTCAAATCCACGAAGATGAAACAGAAGCTGATCCGCGATTCCTGACACTTCTGTGATTCTATGGGGCTTTCGGGGTCCGCTCTTTGTTTTCGGGTGGAGTCCTTCCTCCAACTTTGATAGTTTTTACGGTGGTGAGGGACGGTGGGGGTCCACATCGTTTCCATTTAAGGGAGCCTGTTGATTGCCAATTTAAGATATGTCCGAGGTGTTCAATCTGGTTTTCCAAAATTTGCGATTTTCCGCCAAGAGGGTTAATCCGTCAGAGGTTAGCAGCAGCTCAATTCCGTCGGTTTGGGGCCTTAGACCGCCATGGTGAACTCATTTAATTGCGGTCTGCGTACACTTGTATTTCTTCAGCCTTGTCTGGCATCCAAACATTTTACGTCTTTCTCAGCCACACTTGGACATCGGACGAAAGCCGCTTTGTTATGTGACTTAGGTCATATGCTGCCTATTCTCCTCAGAGAATACCTTCCAACCCTCCTCCTTGTTACCATCAAACCAGTCCTGGTGCTGATGGCGTGCGCAACCGAGGACGTCCAGAGCTCCGTACTTGGTTCTATTGCGTCTCAATAATTATTTTCGCTTCTGCAGATTTCAATTACACCATGCGAGGGTTTGGACGGTTTTTAAAATCTAGACGGCGATCAGCCATATTCAGTATTGCAGAGTTTAACTTGCCTGGTGTTGAGCTACCGTGCGGTCATCCGCAGAATTACCGTTGCAGTTTCATCCTAGAGATCACAACGCGTTGCCCATCCAGCAGTCGACACCATTCATTGTTTTAGCCACGCCTGCAAACAAGGACGTGGTCCAGCAGATGCTTGTGCCTCCAGAGTGGATGCGCGCACGCTTCCTTTTCCCGCATCGTAGGGCAGAGGAGGGTCTTAATCAGAAGACGACCGGGTTCCGTGCAGCCCTGCAGAAGACCACCGATATTGTAGCTGTCTATCTCGTGGCGACGTAACACTCCTTTCCAGCTAACCCTGTCTCTGGAGACCTGGGGCATTTAATTAAGCGAGTACTGGCAATGTGTCTGCCTTCGACACAGTCCTTGGAAGGGTACGTAGTTCTTCATAGAACGTGTTCTTTAGTGAAGGGGCACGTGGGCGCTGACGACGGTGGCGACTTCGTCCCTGCTGAGAGGCGGCCTCGTGGTCATGAGACGGTCATTGACGCCCTGTGGCTGGGAGGACAGCCGTCTAACAACGTTGCTGATGGCGAAAGCGACTCTGCCATTTCGTCACTCTGGCTTTGGACTTCGGTCCCAAGGGAGTGTGTATCCGACACCCACTCTCTCGCCCTCTCTACCTGTGCATGTTCAGAGAATCGGGTCTTACTGTCGGCCGCACGGGTGACCAGAGTTGTCATCGCCGGTCGGTTTGCCGTTGGACTGTCGAAAAATGGACGAACATTTCGAGTCGCCAGGATGAGCAGTTGTCACTCTGGCAGTCTGTGGTGAGGGACCGGGATGGGTGTTGAGATTACTGCTGTTTCGTATACTGTTTCCGTCAATTTTTTGCGTGCACGAGCCATGGCCAGCGTACAGACAGCGCGATTCACCAACATTTATTTTGGGCACATTTTATTACTAATGCTTCCTTAGATACCACTACTGAGTCATTCTAGGCCACTGCCGAATTCCCTTGTGGATCACGACTTTTGTTTAGTGGGAAGACGACTTGAATTAGCCTGTAGTGCCGACGGGCTTGCGTGTCTTTCTCCCTGCGGGCTGTTTAAGTTGGATGATGTGCGGGAGGTAGGATGAGACCAGAGTGCGGGGATCACTTCAGAGATTACCGGGTGTGGAGGCAAGCCCGATGCCCTCATCTGATTTAGCTCATCGGTGTCGGGAGAGTGGCCGCCGTTTGGGGCCTGGCTTTATCGCCATGGTATGCTCATAAGTACTTGCTACGAGCCTGTTCGTGGCTGCCTTAACCGAACTATGTGGTCTCGCATATTTTATCTTTTCCTGTGTGACATTTGCTGGCAGTATATCTGCGTCAGGGTATAGTGGCGAGTCTGAGTGTGGGCTTACGCCGTGCTAACAACCTGCGCCAGACTCTACCTCCGGTCTTCTTGGCTTTGTCCTGATGCCGGGCTCAGGGGGAGGGAGAAGAGAGTACTGTAGAAGCATCACGGGTCTGCTATAACTATAGACTAATTCACGCGCAAGTCACTATTCCTGCGCTCACTGTGCTGTTGGGCATGCGGTGGACATCGTCGGAATTGACGACTGGACTGTCGTACTGTGCACTCCCATCTTATGTAGTTCATAACCAACGGACTCGGTTGCAGATTTGCCGCGATAGCATTCTAGGAAAAAGGGACAATGGCAGCGTATGTGACCGATTTTAGTTGTCATTTCCACAAAAACCACAGACGCTCTTCCTGCATATCCTGAAGCAGGCTAAATGGACGGTAGGAACACACTGTATAGTCAAATTTTTCAACAAACTGTTTTCGCCCAAGCTGTTGCAATACAAGGGTAGTGCAGCATTGTCGACTGCACAAATGCATAAGACCTTTTAATGATCCTCAACCGTCGCATCAGTGCCGCGTTTGTTCACGCACTATGAACCGATGTTAGAAATCATACTTATTAAAACCATCGTGACCTGCAGGTGAATATTTTTCCAGCACCTATGCAGACTTACCCAGCGCCACCACATTTTATTGAGTCTGGAGGACTGGAATTTGCAATTGAAACTAGCGTTTATTTTGACGTAGGGGGCAATTTTCTGGTGTGGTTTTTATTAGCATTTACGTCTTTGCGTATGAAGGCTACCGCCTATCCATTTTTGGCTTCCAACTGGATCGGTAAGACACTCCGCTTTGTCGTGCCAATGATTAGGCGACGAAGATGCGACCCTGACACGGATCATTGAAGGTCAGATCTCCTGGCGAGCTATGTGTACTACGGGGCATGAAGTCCTTTTCTCGTGGATTGAGATGTGAAGTGAGTGCTTTGCCATAGATGTGTATAAAGTGTGGATTCGATAACCTCCAGAAACGTTTACAGAGGGATCAGTTAAATGTATGACCTTTATGTCTTTCTGACCATCAAGTTTGATCATTTGCTTCAGCATAGGACGTACCATATAGCATTCAATTGCTTTAAATTGGGCTGTGACTCAAACAAGAAAAACAGTCCGAATTATTTCACAATTGCCTTCGCCCTTTCCAGCCGGAACTTCAGCAACCTTCTTCCACATGAGCCATTGTCAATTGATAAAACACAGAAAGCATACAAAATTGCGTTACTTTTTGCTGTTTTATTTTTTAGTAACAACACTCCGAAAGGCAGTGACGATTGTATTTTCTTTCGTCTTCTTTGCTAAACCGTTCGCATTTGGGTGAGTTTAAGTCACTTAGACATGACCCTCCGTTCACTTCCGCTCTTTATCGTCCACTTTACTTTAAATCTCTCGAAAGGGGGAAGGCCTGTCCTCAGAGCTGAAGGCGCGTTTGCACATAGCACTTAAAATCTAGAACCCCCTTTTGAGGAGTAGACTGTTCCTCACCGTTGGTGTTTTGGTCCAGGAATATTGCTCCAGGTTAAAGTATATGCGGAGATTCGAAGTCCACCGTTCCACAAATGCCTTGGTAATACATATTGTCCGTGAGATTTTTCCTCATAAAGGATAATATTTAAAGCAGTCCGTTCATGGAGCACGGGGTATCGCATGCCAGCTTTTTTAGAACACTTCAGTCGGCCTGACAGCGTGACTCGACCAGCAAATAGCGGAGCTATGACAGAAAGTTGCAACAGGTTGCGGGCAGGAAAAATCAGTCTAAAATTGTCGCCTTCCTCATGTAATCTGACCTTACCTCGTGACACGTGGACCTAAGATGATAGAAGGATCTTACTGTCTAACTAGAAATGGTTCAGTGTGATCGGGTAAGGGTTAGTAATTTTCGACGACCCTTGAGGCAGCCTCGAGAGGCTTAGCTGAACAGCAGGATATTGGCGACACTTGTCAGGCGATTTTGTCAGCTGTGATCCACTGTAATAGTGTGTTCTCTGATCAGAAGCCAAGTAGACAGTGATTGATTATTGCGTGGGAATGCAAAACCGGCATGTATCAGTTGCAGGCGGGGAGTGAGGGCTAGTTTCCGTATCCAGGGGGCGCGAAAGGCCGATCAGCGCACAAACGCCCTGCAACGAACTTGCAACAATGCCCGCGCGGGGCGGGTCATCAAAGGCGCGTGGCGACTGCGTGCGACTGTCAGCGTGTGTTAACCAGGCTAAGGCGGCTTATAAGGGCAGAGGTGTCTGGCGTCGCAAGAGAGTGTGTTACCACAGTTTGTCTGTGACAAGTTGAGGGACAGACAGTTCGTAAACACTTATCGCCAAATGGACTTGAAACTCCAAGCTCCCTCCATTTGAGCTTTGGGTACTCTGTTGACTCTGCTTCCCGGAAATCTCGGTGGGCTGACGTTTGATTTTGTTTCACGCCTAACCTCTTCTGTCTGTGCAGATTGTTATTTCTCGGAGTCTGTTAGTAGGTCAAGTGACTAGCCAGTTGACTTCAATGAGCAAACCACGTCCGTCCCTCCGGGGTATGCGCCGTGAATGGGCAAACATTAAAGTGACAGTAGAGGCAGGTTTTAAAGACTGAAATAGCAACTGTTTCAAATGTATCCACGTCCTCTTCAACCAGTCCTCCCCACAAGCAACGCCGACGAGCGTCTACAGACATTCGCACACCGCGCCTTGACTGCAACTTGGGTGAGATAAAGCCTAACCGGCGCACGCCAAGAGACTCCACTAGTCCGCCCCGCCATCAGCGTAGATCGAGTAACCTCACTCGCGTGCGAATTTCGAAACTAATAAGTCGCTAACCTTAAATGCTCTTTGATTTTTGCCTCTTTCTGGTAATTATGTTATGGTCGAAATTGATGAGAAACGAAAAGTAACAGTCGTAAGTCATATGAAAAATTCAATAGAACCTATGAATGCGTTTTTGGAGAAACGTGCAAGACCCTTGTGTGTTTATAGATTTCAAGATAGGCGGACTAGTCGCTCTGTGATCTCCATTTTCCTTATTTCCATGTTCAGCTTGCAAAGTGTGCTTCGACTCTTTTACTCAAGGCCAGCACTAAGGTTTCGGTGCGTTGATGACACATTCAGGAAATATCAAATGTACCCACATCCATCAGGCGGCAGGCAAATTAGTTATAACTGCAGCGAATCGGAACAAAAGCCTTTTACTCTCAGATTGCTTGAGAATCTGGCACCTTTGTCACTAAAGTATGCAGAAAATAGCCGCGCACTTAGGGCTATTTTAACTGTGCCTCCACCTTTGTCCGCTGTCAAACCAGATGGTTTTCACGTACAAATATTTAGTGTCTGCCACTCGCTCGGGACCTTAGGAATTGAAAAATTTGAATTTCCCAGTCATCTGTTTGGCTTAGTGGTCATTCCAATCATGCGGGCATCAAAGTATTGCAACCCCTACTGCAGATAAACGCGCTACCCATTCATTAGAAGGAGGACCTTTCCGTTGGTATTGAACCCATGCTGTCTATTTGCATTCACCATGGAGATAACTTGATCTTTTACCGGATGGATTCCTGATCAATAGTCACAGGTATTTCTGACACCCAGTTCCATCGCCCCTGTCGTGTCGTTTCATTAGCACTTATTGGTGAGACAATTGCACTCGTTGAAGTTCTACTTTGTCAGCAGGCAAAGCTGTTGTAATGTGTTATCCAACCTTTCGGAGTCCGTATCTTTAGGGCATCTTTTGGCAGGTCGGAGGAAAAGGTTGGCCACTAATTCTCCATGCCGGGTTTCGTGTTCGTGTCAGAATTTTCTACAAACGCCTATTCCCCAAAAACCCTTTGCCGCTGTCTCTAGTTGGCCTGCGACTTCCTATCATTGCACCTGCCCTTTCGTCATTACAACTGCTACCTTGTAGGACCCCTCGTTTTCTCATTAGAATTGCACTAGCCTGAGGACAGCAATTTTGGATGAAGTTGAGTTCTGAATGCTCACTTGTAGCCGATGCACTATGCACTTGTTGAAGTCTGTAATCGGCAATCATATCGCAGCTGGCTAACAAGAACGTGTAACGGTAGCATCTTCCATTGCACGCTAAGATTCCCTCCAATAAACCGCCCCCCATGGCGCTTCCGCCTACTAAAGTATATCATTAATTTGTTTCATTCTGTGGACAACAGTAGAATTGAACAGGAGCGCCAACGATACTTCCCTCATTTAGTTAACTGTATTTTTGGACGTTGGTTAGCCGTTGCCAGATGGCAGCCTCCTCCACCTGGCGGTACTTATGCGCACCAAAGGACTATAAATGTCGGCTTATGCATTAGATCATCTGCCTTTGCGCCGCCCTTCTTTTTTTCTTTTTGTCCGCGTAACTTACTAAAAAGCTATTGGTAGTTGGCAAAATTTGGTTAGACATATCCTAGTTTTCCTTCCAGCGTTTGATAATAAATACGTTTTACTGATAAAAATGAAGTAGCAAGTCGCGAGATCGAGCTCTGGGTATTTATCACCTCGGGAGCGGGTATGACTGGCTGAAGATGGCCAATAAGCCAGAAATGGTCATTCCAGCCTCCTTCATATTTGTCGACAATGCAATAAAGTAACTGTTATTATCCTATTACAGATACCTGTGGTCGGGCGCAATGGTTGTCCTCGGTATTTACCTTAGCGCTTATAGCAAATCTCGCAGCAGCAGGCAGAAGAGGATGTCTCATGATGCCTCATTTCGCCGCACCGAAAATTCCATCTTGCATACAGTTTGAGATTTACCCTAACTTCACCCTCCTGGCGCGAAGTCTTTCACTCTAAGGGGCTGTGCTCTACTCTTACCCTGTCGCGCCTGACGGCTTCTTATTTTTTCTAAGCCTTTGTTCTGTTTTGCTTTCTTTGTACTTGGGTTTTTTTTCTTCAGCCACGTTCGTTGAAAAATGCATTCCATCACCTACGTTTTCAGTCTCTCTTGTAGCATTCCTAGGTTTTCCGATCTGTGGTCTTGGGATTGAAGTATGAAAAGGTTCATTTTGGAGCCGCTGCTTTGCAAACATAGTCATTATCATCATTGAATGCGTTTTCATCAACTGAAATTTTTTATATTGGACGTTCAGCTAACTATCCGATCGCATGCCACGAACAGACTGCAATGTTTCGGGATCACCCTTCCTGCCTTCACTTCCGTTTGCTGGTGTCTCCCATTGTAAACATCCGGTAGCAGAATTGGGTGGAGGTGGGTCATCATGAGACAAGTCCCCCTTGTGGAATAAGTTGTCAGATTGCGTGCGAAGCCAGTGCACTTCTGTGTGGTTTTTCATCACGCCTGTGCATAGGTCGGGATTATTCGGTCCTCTCAGGACGGAAAGTCAGGCTGGAATGGCTCCTTCCTAGTGTAGCCACTCCCACGCAGTTTGGACCGGGGCCTCCACTTGTTGATTGTGTGAAATCCCCGTCCATCTTGCGCGGACCGGACGTGTGACACGCGTAAATGCGCCGCTTAGCTTTGTCGGTCACTGTGCCCGATCCCGCTTCCGGTCTTCTTGGCTTTGTCATGACATTGAGCTCAGGTGGGGGGAGGGAAGTGCGTTAGGTGCTGCGCAAGTCTACCACCACCATAAACTAATTCACCCGCAAGTCATCGTCCCTGCACCCACCCCGCGGTGAGGCACGGGTAGACATCGTCGTACGTGACGGCCGAACTGTCGCATGGGGTCCGCGAACCTGGTTGACCAATTCACGTCCAGGCGGTTGTGACTGAGATAACTGATGCAAATATATAACCTTTATTCGTCAGAAATATTTTTCGATCCAAGTCTGATCCAGCACCCAGCCTCGGATTGTCTGTCAAAACCTTCCAGACTGTTGTCCTGGTTTTCTGTCAGCCTATACCTCTGTCGCAGCCTATCAGCCACAGCGTTAACCAACTTCATGAAAACGATATTTCAGTGTTGGGTCTATTATCTCGAGCGCATAGATGCTCAAAAACCACTGTCATTTTACAAACCCAAGAAGTCAGTCTGACTTAGAGATATGTTCAGTGATCAGGTTCAAAAGGAGTTACAGTTCGGAATGATTGCTGAACTAGGCATAATGCTTGCTCCAGGTTACCTTATCTCGTTTATCAATCGTTGCTTTCGGATTTCGCACCTGGAAATCGAGTACGTACGAACGTGTATCATTGTCCCACCGAAAAATACCCCCCTAGTACGGTTTCGCTCATAACTGAAGTAGCTCATACTTGAAAAGGACAATAATTTCGGAGATATATTCTCCTAAACTTCAACTGCTCTGAATAGCGACTGTATCTTACAGCACACCTCTTTCGTGTTCTTGGGGATAGGGCAAAAAATCGAGTAATGGGAACTTCGCCCAAGTTTGGGGGGTAGTGAATACAACCAGCGCTATCGCTGAGGACGCCCTTCACTCGTGTGCTTCGGTCTGGCCGGTAATTCGTGAATCCATTGTTGCTGGCAGCTATAAATGCGGCGCTCGTTCAGTGCCCCACTGGGTCATGATTATTCACTCTGCATGCGAGTGGTTCCAGGCGCGCTGACCTTACCACTGTCTGACCGAGTAAATGCACGCTCGCAGCCGTCCCTGCCTCACTTCAAAACTCCACCAATCGACTGATACAGGATGCTAGTTCGACACCGCAAGCCACGACGTCCACGGTGTGCCCCATGGAGGTAGCGAAGCGTCGTTGACTTGCGCGAGGGCTACTTTATTGCGATGACAGACCTGCGCAGCATCTGTCGCACTCCCTCTTTCCTCACCCAGCAGGCTCCGATAATAAGGCAGTGTCAGGACAATTAAAGGTGGACTCTACACAGTGACTAGCAAAGCCAAACAGCTAGTCTACGGGTGCTGTACACGATCGAGTCCCCACAACACGCACCAGACCGGAGTAGGACCTAACATGTGTGAGAATGCCATAAAGGCCTCACTGAGGAGTCACTGCATCCTGCCCCCCAGCTATGAGATCTCCCCTAAATACCCCCATGAGTGCCGGACTATCCTGCAAGTTAACAATCTTCCAAGCCACGGCTCTTGGTGCATCGTGGCAGATTGAAGCGTGTCGAACTCATTAAAATGATACACGTGTCCCCTTATTATGAGGGTGAATTCCGCGATGTCGACTCCGCTTCCATGCACCAGTCGACTGTCCGAACCCCTCTGCTATTTAATGATGAGACTGGGCGCAGTGGCTAACAGAGCTTGACAGCCCGTCTGCCTGTGATACGCGACCTGGTTCCCGCCTAAGTACCAAAATACACCATATGACAAGCTTCCCGATTGAGTAAGATATGGATATTCTGTCATGCGGCGTTTCGCCCATGATATCAGCAATGGCGAAGCAGATGTTATGCTTGCCGTAGGAGAGAAGCATGACGTTACATGTGGGGGGGGGGGTAGCATCTATCCTCGTGTTATGTAATAGTCTCATAGGTAATCTAGAGGTATGTGTGTGGACAGGAAGGACGAGGTGTGGTTATGGGTTATTGACTGCGGTGTTTTACAGAAGATTTTCATGGAGGCCATATCGTCGAATGGTTCCATGCGATGACCGAATATTTCGGGGTTGTGTAGGCAGGGGGTGTATGACGGTGCTCCTGGTACTGGTTCGCGGGGTTTGGTGTGATGATTTCGCAAACGATCGATCAGGCTTATGCGTGATGAAAAAGTTCGGTCGCAAAGGGGACAAGTTGGAATTGAGTTCAAATTACTGATGGTAGGCGCAATGGTAATAATGTTTTGCAGGATACTACATAGGAATATCCTCACTGACGATTCTAGTGGTGGCGACGTTTTTGGAAATAGAAGTCGAGTTTGCCGTGTTGACATTGCACTGGATTCAGTCGAAGATGCGAATTCCGGAACCAGTTGATAAGAAGAAGAAGCGATCGCTGGAATAAGGACTTTATTTGTCTGACGTTTCGTATTATCATTTGGATCCATCATCAAAGACAGTGGTACTGGATTTGCAGATGCCCAATGGGACCGATTTATGTTTGAAATATCCGTTGACAGTGTGGGCAGAACGGCAGGGGTTGTGTGCTTCCGTCATTAGTCTGTAACGCTTGAGCCTTGTAGGCCTGCCTACTTCCCTATATAACAGACATCCACTTGACAGAAAACTAAGCCTGCAGACATTCGCCGAAGTCCACCCAGGTCCAAGGATCGATTTGGGGGTTCTTGATGAAGGTTTTCAAGGTGTTCTTGTAGCGACGCTTTTTTGTTTGTGAGCACCTATGTCGACGTCGCTGCAGAATAATCGAGTGCGGAAGGTGGTCGTACACGATCACAATGCTGCAGCTCCATCGCAGTCGCGACTGTGATTTGTGCAGCGGTCGACATTACACAACGACAGTTCAACCACTCAGACCGACGACGGCGACTAACTCGTTCCCGCTGAGAGGCGGCCTCAGGATCATGAGACGGTCATTGACGCCATGTGGCAGGCAGGACAGCCGCCTCACCGTTTCGTTCCTGATGGCAAGGCCGACTCAGCGCCTCGACACCTTGTCTTTCACTTTCGTTCCAGGAGACTATGCAGCCACTTCCTCCATTCGTCCCTGGTTAGAGAAGCGATTCACTCTGAGGACCATAATGTCCACATTGTAGCGGGTCAGTTCACAGGCGACCAGAATTGTCTCTCCTACGGTCGGGTGCTCATAATGTTTTCGAAAACGAACAAGCTGAGTAATGCCAGTCTGGCAGTCTGTGGAGAGGCTATGGGGCGGGGATGGCTGTGGTCTTTGTATCCTATGCTGCTTCGACCACATATTTTGCGGGCACGGATCACGGCCAGCTTGCGGATGGCGTTATTTGTCAACATTCATTTAGAGCACATTTCCTGGCCTTCTCAACCGCGAGGGGTGTTGGTAGTGCCCACTTAAATAGCATTACTGAATCGCCCCAGGCGGTTGCCGAATTCCATTTTGGGTCACCACTTTTGTTTATTGGAAAGACGGCTCGGATTAGCATGCAGTGTCTACAATATTACATGTTGCCCTCTCCGTAGTACTTTTTGTGCTGCATAAAGGTCGGGATTGAGTGAGGCGACAGGATGGGGATCATTTCGGGAACTGCCGGGTGCGAAGACCAAAATAGGCCCTGCGCCCTCATCTGGCTTAGCTTTTCGTTCAACGACGATTCTCAGGGTACGATTCCTGTGCGTATCCTGGCTTCCTGGAACTGCAGGTGAGGGACTGGTTCCAGGATGGGACAATGTAAAATTTCCGCCAGGTCCCCCTGATGCGTTTGACTGAAGCTGTTAGCGTACTGTTCACAAGTATCTGTTACAATTGTGCAAACTTGCTGTACGCTGGATGTAAGTATGTCCTCGTAAACAGAGAACTTGATTCGTAATCACAAAAACTGTGTTATGTTATTGTCAGTCACAAATACCATGTTCGGTGTGAAGATATTTGTGATGGTTCTCGAAGCGTTTCATCCATACTCCCCTCGTCGTAAATCCTTCCACGAACCCCTCACATGTGCATGCTGGCAGATTTGCATCCGTTCTGAGATTCGTTCATGTGATCTTGCATTTAAATAATTAGTACCACTACAGGTATCACATGGAGAAGAAAGAATTTCTGCCTGAACCTCAGTCCTGTTAGCACCACGTTGCTCCGTCAGTTGTCTACTTTCGAAACTACAGTTGCTATCGCTTAGTGGCCGTTTTATGAGTACTTGTTTGTTTAGAATAAGCAGTTATGCGCTGGCTCTCACTTGAATCGACCTCATTTCTCCTTCCCTCTTCCACGCACCAGTAACTTGTCCGAGTCAAACCGATTGAGGATAATGCTAGGCCCAGTGGTTGACGTGGCGTGACGGCAATGTCTAACGAATGTCACACCCGAACTCGGACTTCACATAGATCAAATATACCGCAAAAGTCATATTAAGAAGCAGTCATTGAGCCTGCCTCTCGAGCGTGTGATGTACTGAGCTCTCTCGTCACCTGGCGTGCTCGCAGTCTGCGACTTTTGGCACGCCGTGATACGCTCGGACACGTCAGATTTATTATTAACGAGGAATTTGCTGACGTGTCATAGGAAAAGGTAACTCAGTTTCGGCCTCACTCGTTTTCCCCTAGCTTTTACAAGCGACCTGTTGTTGAACTGATGATGGGATAGGGGACTCTGAACACAGTCGGTAAAAAATACAGGACACCTTCAAAGCTACTGACATCGGCGTCATCGAGGCCACTGAACAAGAGCACAAAGACTGGTCCGGCAACAACCACGACGAAAACTAAATCCACTGGAAAACAACCCGGATCAAAAGAAAGCCACATACTTCCAATGCGATCCCCAAAAGCTAGAAAGGCTGGATGAGATAAACATATACTGATTGGCTATCAAAACAGATGAAATCCAGGGATACGCAGATTGTGGTGAAATAAATAACTCATTCGCGTCCTTCAAGGTAGTCTGCCATCCCCGAGCCACCAGAACTGCGCTGCCTGATGAAGGAGTCGTTGATTCATGAGCGTCATGAAAAAAATTTTGGGTGTGTCTCCCGTCCCATCTACAATATGGGACTAAATGGGGACACCGAAGGCATGCCTCGTGCCCGCAAACATTATATTTGCAACCCTGAAATTGAAAGAAAAAATCCTAATCAATGGGTGTCTGCCTCCACACCACTTTCACAGATCTCGCCAGTTCCTAACATTGTGAGGTGGGACATCTGGAAAGTATTGAGATACTTTAGATGGGCGTGACAGCTTCGCGATGGTGTAATAAGACGCGCGTCGGACAGTAGACCAACAATGGTCTTCGTGATGACAAACTGGATGAAGCAAGGCTCCGCCCTTGCTCAAAGTCCCTTTGGCCTCATGCTCTCTAAAATGCTTATGCATGCCTTCTGAGCATTGGTGTAACCTATCAAATCGATGAGAAATTACTCGACATCCGCCGTATGAAAGTTATCACGAAGGTCTCCAAGACTAGGACATGACCTCCACTTTGCTAACGGCTGTGCATTAAACCTCACCGCTGAGGCTGCTATGCAACATGGCCTAGACTGTTTCGCCTCCCAACGCGTCAACTTCGAACTTAACATAAACACACGGACAATGGTTCTCACATATCAACCGCCATTAACCGTCGAATATACAGAACCCCGCGATGACTGTGAATGTCAAATGCCTAACAGCGGTAGACTGATTGTCTTGCCTGAACGGGGTCATCCAACGGATCATTAAAATCGACGACTAGATTGCAGTCTGAATCTCAAAACTGTCGAGTCTCTTGTGGGACACGGATTCTAGTTTGAAATCGGAGTGGCACCCTTCTCAGAATGAAGCTCTGGACTGCAGCGCTGTCATCATAACAGCACCACGGTGCGGTGGCCTAGACATCCCACTAAGGTCAAACATGAAGTGCGTGACTTTACCCATGAAAGGTGTCGAAATTTATGAATGACTTCTAATGATCTAATGCGCGTTCATGGCACTGACTAACCATGATGGACACCTTCAGACTCGCCGCAGCGACCAACCGGTCCCCTGCAAAACCAAACGCCTCCGGCAGCATCGTGTACACCTCTCTCGCTCGTCCTCGCTGCAACACCATGTTCTACCCTGGCGTGATATGTACGTACCCACCGCAGAGCCCCAAACGTTACTCGTGGCCACTCCCAACAATGCAGGCACAATGCCAGCTTGCACGTGCCACGACTACGCATTGGCCTGGTCGTCCGTCCACGAATCTATTGCAGTGCGACCGGACAAACTGTCCCCGAAGCCCAGACCAAAGCTGGAATCCACGCACTCGCTGTCCGCGTCACATCCACAGGCTCAGCCACCACACAGACCTATTTGGTCATACATGCATGCATGAAGTGGCAGTCCTTGCTCAACTCCCACTGCTGCAACATATGCAGTTGCTGCAAGGACCCGTCCTATTATATGTGCACGCATGAAGGACATTCATTTATCACATACTCACCCTAAGGTGTTCTTTACCAACGTCGATCGGCGAACCGGGCTACGCGATAGCAGAGGCGCTACATCAGCCACCACGCCTATGCGCGGTGTCAGACATTCGCACATAACCAGTAAGCTGAACGAACAGACCAGCAGTTAAAGGCTACTCATCGCCAACTGACAGAGTACAGGCATAACAGGGATTCAACCTCCGGGGCCCAGCTCGTCAAATTCTGTACCTGGTACTGGTCCCAGCGTCCTCCGGCGAAATCGTCCAGTAGGCTCACAAAACACCCTACAACCCTGATACCACATCAACAAGGCTTCGTGCAGAAACCATATAAACGTCTCTTGCTCCTAAAACCACAAAGTCTGAAGGCAAAGTTGTTCAGGGCCAGAAGGTATCTTAAATGGGTGGTAGACATCCAAGGAGTCAGGCGGCCTTCAAGTCTAGCGCGCTTAGCCCGAATACTAAGATTACGATCCCTGTCGGAACACTTCTGAACGATAACCAAACACCTGCATGAATGTTTAAGCCCCGCCCTATCGCACAGTTATTTGGCTCTCGAAAGTTGCTGTCGTCATTGGCCAATCAATCGGCGCATGCACTTGCAACTCCATAATAAGAATTAATTCCTCTTGAAATCATAGTCGCAGACAATAGATTTACCCCACTGAGTTTCCGCAGTGGATATGGGCTGCAGAAAGCTAAAAGCACTGCTATACTGAGGAACCTGAGCGTTGTATTGTCTTATCCAGAAGAAAGAACAAAGTCAAAGAAATATTATGCGAAGGATGCGTGATACAAAACCCTTTATGTACAGAAGACTGGTAGCGGTAAAAAGAATGAACAGCGGCTCGGCAAAGACTAAGTTCCAATAACGGCAAGTTTGGGAACGGGGAAAGCGCAGGCCCGAAGGGAGTGTCGTTGCAAGCGTTTTCTGTCCAATCTTAGATAAAGACTCCAGAAATGTCGAAACGGAGGACTACGCGAAGTCCCATGACCATTACTGATACAGCTGCCAACCTTCTCTCCATAAAAGGCTTGACTTGTAAGCCAGGCAGGACATTTATTTCAACTGCGAATGTGGTCTGCCATGTTCTACGCAACGAAAGACTGTATATTCCAAGTGGGGGGACCACGAGCGGGACAAAGGGAGACTTCACTCGTTTGGGAGTTTCGGCATGTATTATGCAATTTCGTAAGTATTATCTACAGGATGCAAGAAAATAGGACGACAGAAGAGGCTAGACAGCTCTACTTTCACTGGTTTTTCTCCTCTCTCCCTAACGCCCATAGGCGGATACGCGGTGTTTGGCCATCGGTATGGCAAGGCCTTGTGTCTCCTCCACCAGTACTTCATGGGGAAGGCCATTAAAGGAGTAGGCAACGAAAAGCTGCCTCCGCGTCATGGGTAGGAGGCCACCGGCAGAGGTTGTCATCAGGCCCGCACAGGGATCATAGAATCCCTGAAGGTCGGCCCATCGACCAGGCGGAAGGCGAAGCTGGTGGTTTTCCACAGCGACCTGCAATGGCGCAGTCACGTCCAAACACATGGGCCCGCCATCATCGGGGTCTAAGGGCAGACCAGGGTTTTCAGCCCGTAGGTAGCCGTAGAGGCCGTTCACAATGACTAGCCCCTTGACCGCTTTCTCCGCATTAGCGGAGCGCGTCGAAGCGTGCTGCATCAGGGCTTGAGTAGCCAGAGCCTCACCGCGTAACTGTTGTAGTTGGTCACGCAGGCGCCGACGCCGCACTTCCTGAAGCCGGCGTATCTGCCGTCGCATCCAGGGATCGTAGACTAGGCTGCGCACCACGCCAAACACTAGGACCGGTATGATGGCTCCGTAACCCAGAGCAGCAAAGTCGCGATTGTCGGAGAGCCGGATTGGCAGACTGTAGGATTGGCCGCCCCGGTGGAGGCCCAGTTTTAGGCCAACGCCTTGCATCCAACTGGCGCTGATTTCGCCTGAAAGACGGGTCAGTTCCGATAGGATACAATTGACACCTAGACGGGCCTCGAGGAGATCGTAGCTGTTGCAGCCTAGGGACACCGAGACCCGACCTCGGTTCTGTGCGGCAAGTAGGTCACCACCCTCTTCTTCGTCTGCTGGGTCGACCCACTCGGGACACTTGTCGCGGCCAGGGTAACGTTCTGAGCCCACAGTGGTGGGTGGTTGGAAGGGATTGAGCCATGCCCAGCCAACAGTACTCTCAAAGCGTGTCGTAAGAAAAAGTTCACCAAGATTGGAGAGACGACAGTGTAGTCGGCAGCTGCGTTCACCCCTTTCACTTGTCCACCAGACTTCAGACGAAAGACCGCCGTTGAGGTTGATGGCGTATTGTAGGCGGGAGTATATGCGCGGCGCGATCTGGAAGGTGAAGCCCAATGAGGCGCCGGGCAGGAGAGCCAGTGAGCTGGATCGTCTGGATCGCATCTGGGCTACCTCGAGGCCCACAAACCCAGAGAGACGATCATGCAAGTCTTTGAACAATTTGACACCCACACCAAGCCCGCGTCCGCCGCGACCGCAGGACACCTATCAGGGGAGGGGAAAAAAGCACCAGAAAATGCAGTGCTTAGACGAAACACTACCAAGGTGGAAGATATAGAAGCAGTTGACGAAATGAGAAAGCCTCGAAATGTTCTGCAACAACCCTTTTCCCAGCTGTCCAGGCTGGGGAGAAAAGCACCACAATATCATTAATACCCTTTCGGACTGATCTTTTAAGCGATTATATGAAGAGGGAATAATATTGCAACACAAAAATTAAAATGTAGATGCAACGGAGGTCGGGGTTTGCGTAGCGAGTGTTGTTATTGAACTGTAATGTGTGGTGGCTATGTGCAAGATGGCTGCCGTGGTTTCTTTACTGGAGTTCGATTACCAAATCTGCACCCAACTCCCTGAACTGCGATGGTACTTGTCTGCTACCGCACCCTTCTACGGAAAATTCGATTGCCAGGCAATACGTATTTAATCACAAACTGGAAAGGCGTTAGGCAACTCTCTAAAAACCCTGCTTTCGAAACGGTGTCATTCGCACACTTGGTTCCTTAAAGCCGGTGGCTGTCATGCCTTTAGCCCGTGAGCGAACAAGCAGAATAACGAATTTAACGACTAGAATTGTCTGGATATGTGACAACAACACACCAGTGGGGAAATTTTTTGTCCTGTTTACGTTCACTTTAGTCTTTCAGGAATGGGCGGTCGGTTTCTTTTTGGCAGAGAATAAAACAACTTAGGGGAGTAGATGTAAAGGCATTCGTCTATGTGGTTCCGAGAAGTTATAGTGCAGGTGGCAGCGGCAGTGCCCAGTCACGTAGCATCACAGGCACCGTCTTCAGCACTAATCTCGTCATTAGCAAGACAGGGAATGATAACAGTGGGTCACAAACGGTTAGCCTGATGGCGCAAACCAAATAAAAGGCCAGTCAACTGTGAAAGTTGGACGGTGTGGATGCATACAATCCTACCGTATTTATTAGTGCAAGGTCATGCTTGAGACAATATTTTCAGTTGCCTGAATATTAAATTGTTGTTTTAGAGATAAGCTGTTTGTTGCGGCCCCGTCTTCACGAACCGAGCTGATTTTTTCTACACTAAAATCCACAAAAAATAAGTCCGGGTTTAGTGGGGAAGAAGTATCTTCGTAATGAGTTGATCAGTTGATCAGAAAATAACAGGTCACCTGTAGAAAAGTGCACACGCAGGGCAGCATCTCATCAGGTTGCCAAGATGCAAGATTTAAATAGGAGGTGGATGTAGAAAACAGGATCGCTTACAAGGGTTTCTACGTTGCCCGCACCAACCAGCGGAGTCTTGGAGGAGAGCCGACGCTGCCAAACACCGATAAGTGTGCCCGCACCAACGCCATTGCGCGCGGCGACCTGTCCAGCTAGGCTGACTGTATGCCAAAGAGTGCGGCAGACAGTAATGGACTGAGACAAGTACACCTCATTCACGTAGATCGAGGGTAGGCCGACACGCTCTTGGGGAGGATCCTATAAACGAAGACAGTTATTTTCGGAACAGACAATCGAGGGGCGCTCGGCGTACAGCCAGACTGTGGTTCTTTTGGAAAACATCCACGTGCGCACCCATTCTACTCTTGCTGGATCTACTTGTGGCCGCCACAAATAAAAAAATAAGGAGGCTAACCTTCAAGTACCGATCAAAGACGTCGGTCAAGTCAACGCCTGCGGAGAATTCTGATTCAGCCTGCAGAAAACGCTTCTGATCCTCCTCCTTTGCCTTTGCCTTCAGTAAGAGATATTCTAGTCGTAGCTCAGCCGCCGATTTATCGCGAACGGCTAATTCCCAACCTTGCATGCGTAATCCTAGAGTAGAACATAGCTTGAGACGGATCTAATAGAGCTAGCACGTGGAATCATGCCTTAAAGACTGATATTTAAAACAATAGTAACTGTCCAGTCTTGGGGTAGTGACACCAGGGTTGGACAAATGAACGAGTGGTAAGGAGCAAAAATGGTGAAAATGGACATGTATATAGTTTCGTTAGGCTATCGAAATACTTTGAGTAGGCATTCACGCAAACTTTCGATTCTAATGGGTATGGTTTCGTCGGCAAACCCGAACTTCTTGGTTGTTCTGAGGGCAAAAATATGGTTTAAAAGAGCTCAATGCTTAGAGGTGAAACTAATTACTGTGTTGGGGAGAGGTAAATAGTGCGAAAATGAACCGACCTCGAATAACAGGACAAGTTGCTGACTGACGCGTTAGGATGGTCAATCCTGGTTGCCATACAATAACCGAACGGATGCTTGAAGGTTTGGTCTACAGGAATGGGTCATGAGACAAAATCTCCCGAAATGCACGTCAGAAAAAGTTTCAACAAATTTTCTCGTCTGACTGGAAATAACGCAAGGTGGGCCGAATCCCTTCGAAAAAGCGCCCTCGGAACTAAGGTATAAACCGGCGTCAAAAGTTTTAATTAATGGGAGTCTATCTATCCACTTGGCCGCATAGCACCGCTTACCCGTGAATCCGTATTGGTCATAAATGGCGCGCTTGTGAGGATCACAGAGGATGTTGTAGGCCGTCGTAAGCCGGCCGAAAGCAGCCTCCGCATCCGCAAGAATGGCAGAACCGCCACCGTCCTCAGGGAGACAGTTGGTTTCGGCTGATGCGACATGCTTGTCGGGATGCAAAAATCGCGATAGACGACGGTATGCCGCCCGAATATCGGCTTCTGAGGCGTCCTTCGCCACACCGAGCACGGCGTATAAATCCGGGGTTGGTTCATCGCCACCGTAATCTACGCTTTCATTACCATCAAAGGTGGAAAGAAAGCTGGGGTCTATGACGTCGTCCTCCTTCTCCTCTTCCACCTCACCCAGACCGTCAGCGGCGGTGCCCGATCCCTCTGTTGCACGGGAAGTAAAACCACTCTCAGCATACATTTGGCAGAATCTGTAAAGGAAACGGGGATGAACGGACAAAGGACTTGTCGTGGACAGGAGGGAAGGACGGGGAAAATAGCAGGGCATGAGGTCGTCTCTAGTTGCTCTCTTTTCGGTATTTAAACACACTACGTTGCTAATGGTCTGTTGTAGACGGTAAGAATAGTGATTACTGCCATAAGGACTCACAGTTACATCAACTGGACTCCAGAGAAGATAGGATACGAGAAAATTTGTAATCAACAAGGCGTATTCGGAAAAGTGGTTCGCAATACTCTCCACATACACACTACCTAAGAGCCCAGACACATTCTACTGGCCTGCTGTCTGCAGCGAGAGTTTGACGTATGAGTCGCGGCGTTCCCTTGTGGCTTTGGCATAGTTCCAACCGTCATACGGTATACAGCGAGAGACGACCTTTCAGACTGTTTAAATTTACGAAAACACTCTGGTCAAGTACCCGCAAATTACAATGGAATAACGCGGCGATGGGGAAGCCGCATAGGGAACGGTCGAGAAGTCATTGAAGAACGGTAGCAAATAAATAAACAGGCGTCTGACCTTCTAGACGATCTCTGCAGTTGCACCATTTTCTGTTGGATTTTCTTCTAAATTAATTATGTTGCTGAGATGGACAGAATAATAACTCACATATTTAGAAAGAAATTGCAGCTGGGGTCCGACAAGTCCCCCTCCAATGACTTTATGCCAAGTTGGCCCAACTTCAGTAGACAAAAGTGCATATTTCTAAACGTCTACCTGTCATTTTTTGCGTCCACAAGAAGTGCGTGGGATTTACCAAGCAAAATACCAGGCTTCAGAACAGAAGCATAGTCCACCAACCTTGCGTTTCCTTACTGCAATGGTTACAGGCTATTCTTGCCGAACTGCATTTCAAGTCTAAGTAGAGGGATGGGCATCAGGAACTCTGGTAATGGTCGGAACGGCTGGGTAGGAAATAAGACAAGTAGCTCTTGTAAATGCAAAGTGGTAATTGGTCCTACATAACGAGCTTCTTAGTTGATCGAAATAGACGAATAGATGGAAAGCCGAGCACTGGGTGTGTCTGCTAGCCTAGCTGTCGGTTATTAGACGCATCTAAATGCATTGGATGGTGGAAACGTCTTCAGCGAAGATAGCCTCCGAAGTAGGCGGGATCTCTGGTCTGACGAATAATGAGAAGCAGACCGTGTAATATTAATGGCCTCAGACGTGATTGAACGCCTATCTGACAAGTCGGCTATCAAAGTGGTCGCAACCCATGGAGAATGTTGCCTGTCATCTAGTAAGACTCCAATCGCAGTCATTCGGCATAATCCAGAGACCAGAGGGATGGGCGAAGATGTCCATCTTTAAATTTAGGTACGAAAGGGGACAATTCATCAAAACTTCGTGCAACCGGTCTGGAGCGTGACGGCGCAACCGAATTTCTGGGTGACCGAAAGTCTGTTAATGGCGCGCCCTGGCAGGACCTGTCCAAAACCAATTCATGTGTGGCAAGTTCCTGCCAGGGGACAACAGCTAAACCCCATTCGATTTGTAGATTTCATCTCGACGAAATGACTACTTGCGACCAAGAGTAAACTTTTCCCTGCATCGCCCGACCACAGAACTGACGGCATGGCCTGAGAAACATTGTACAAATTCAATCAGAAGAGGAAGGAAGACCGTGGATCATAAAAGCCTAGGTCGGAACTCGGTGAACTTATAGTGGGATGAACGCTATCAAAGGATGGAGACTCCAGGCGCCTGAGTCACTAACTTCAGGACAGAGGTACACCCGATGGCCGCCAGCCAATTACTTGGACGGTTAACAAGCCCTGTGTGTATGTTTCGTCCGTTTAGCTTAACTTAGAGGTTTTACAAAAGGTGCACAGAAACCGTGAACTGTACTTTCACTCTTAAGGGTTAAGAAACAAGAAACAGCCGGTAGCCTCGAGTGCTCAAGACCTTATGGAATTGGCTTGCTAATTAACGACCAGTCAAGACTCAAAACAGCAGCTGACTCGGTAAAGAAAATCCACTCAAGGGATAAGGAAACTGTCCAGAAGCCTTGTTCTTACGTAAAAAATTCGCCAGAAAAACAGAAATCTAGAAACGAGACTTTGTAAAGGTCCAGTGAGAGGAAAAACCGCAGAATATCTGGAAGCCTTATGCAAACACCTCTTAGCAAAAGTCCCATAGGGATGCCCATCATCCCAAAAGAACTTGGCCATAGGTAGGTGACGTCTTCAAGGAAGCTAAAGAGACATCTGAGGAAAGATCATGCTGGCTGAGCACCATACCAAAATAACCTGGATTCGCCCTTCTCTTTGGATGGATGATAAAGAGTGCAGTCAAAGCTAATGAGCGCGACTGGCAGCCCATGAAGGTGGTGTGATGCCCAGGCGTGTCTATGAACGGATGAGAAATGGGTCCGTGAAGTATGATTCGAGCTGGACAGCAACCTTTGGTTGTCTGTTAGCAAGGCCAAATACGCCACTGGAACAAGCAGAATACAAAAGTAAACCTAAACCACTCCAAGGCTTGTCAAGTGAAAAAGGTTTTAAGCAAAGGAGCACAGAAACACGTGAAACCCAAGCGTATTAAGTGTCAGTCTCACATAATATCTTGCTAGAATGGGAGGCCGAGGACACAAAGTCAGAAGCTCAAGAGCGCCATGACAAAATTACAAGAAGACAAACACAAATTCACAAGTGTATTCGGACCGCAAAGATTACAAGATGAACGAGATGGTAAATGCTCGAGGAAACATGAAGGACCTTAGTCTTCATCAGCAGCCCGCGGATCGCGTGGTTTCGGACCGCCGGCTGGCCTTGACATTATTATCTAAAAAACAAACAGCAAATACGTTTCGAGTAGCCACAGTATAGACAAAAAGCCTTGTATCAATGTAGAGACATATGTGGTCAGGCAGTGCATGAACAGATGCACAAAAACAACATTCAGATCTTTATGGGTGCGATCGCAATAACCGTATCCCTCAAAAAGTGATTATATGTAAAAATAAATTTCATATTGCATGCTCAGCGCATATATTATAAAAAGCTGTGAGGGCTGCACACCTGGTATAAGCGAAAATCTGAAAATTCGAAGTGGCACACTGCCTACCTGATCAACACGCAGAACAGTGCAGGCTGCATTTGATGCAAACCTAATAGCCCATCTTTTAGTGTTGTAGAGGTCGAGAACTTCCGCCTTCACTGCATCGCATATAGATGGATCCTTCTTTGGCAACGTAACAAAACCTGCGTTTATCTCTCCTGCTTGATGCCTGGCGTAGAGGTCAGCGATTATTTCGGTAGCCTGAAGTGCGATATCGGAGTTAATTGTTACTTTTATGTTTAAAACAAAAAACCCAAAAGTAAATTCATATCGTGAGGTTGAATAATTCAAGGCATTAAGCCACCTAAGTCTTCAAATGTACACTCACTAGCATTACTCAGCACAAGAGTTTTAGAGACGTCCGACAAACACAAGTTTGTGTGACTTCAGAAACCGCACAAAGGTCAGCAAAATAACAACTGTATTGATGCAAGTGGCGGCAACGGCAAAGTGCAAGCTGAGTAAATTCCACAAATTTTTGGGCCTTTTGTGGCGCCATTTTTAGGAAAGGTGGGACCAGGGCTTACCTTTTCGCCAGCATTCTCAGACAGAGCCTTGACGATGATTTCGAAAGAACGGGCAAACTCGCGTATTGCATACTGCTCCAAACCCGGGATGGTGTCTGCATAACTCAAAAGACGGCGAGCTAGCTCAATCTCACAAGCACCTGCGCCAGCGACTACTTTATTCGATCGTGTGAGTGCTTTGTAAGTGTTGACGCCATCATCCACGGCGCGCTCGGTATCATCGAGTATGTTATCAGTGCTACCGCGCAGGACGAGGGTCACCATCACACCATCCTTCCCTCCTAAAAAGGACACAAATTGCCAGTAGGTTGAAGCTTTTCTCTGGACAGCTAGCTCAGTTCAGGCTGCTGATGCAGACAAGGGTATTTACCTCGTTCAAAAACGACAACATTAGTGTCAGCAATTTCATCAATTTTGACGTGGTCGATGAAACCCAACTCATCAGCCGTTGGAACTGTGAGGGTAGGAAGGGGAGTTGCTCCAGTGGACTTGCAGAGACGACGCACGTCAAATTTGCTGACGAGGCGGACCAACATGATGCCCAGTTTGTTAGCGTAATGTAGAGCAAGTTCGCTAATCTTGCCACCAGAAACGATGACCTTAACTCCGGAATTAGCGATGGATGTGAGTAACTGAAAAAAAAACACCAATATGGTTATTCATGGGACGGACACAGCCAGGGAACTTTGTGCACACAACTCATGGGCTCGATAGCGTGATTTGCGAGCGCATCAACATACACCAAAAGTCGTGCCGGTCCAACATGCTGATCAAACACTGTCTAAGCTTAGACGTAGTATATAACGTGAATTAGAACCACTAACGACCTTAAGATGGCACTTTGGCTAACTATGGAGTGTGAAATGCAGTTATTGAAGATATGCAATTATGTAATTAGTCTCCACGGGTTAAGAAAACGGACAAGATTTTGGCGGTACATCAGAATTCGATTAGATTGTTCTTGTCGGCTCTAATAAAACGTTGTCACCCACATGTGCGCAAAATAACCAAATGCAAATGCTCCAAAGCATGACAGGCAGGTATGTCAATCGTGCAAGTTATGTATGATAAGAGCCGGTGAGGCTGAGTACGAATTCCACAATGCTAGAGTTGCGGACCGTCGCGGTCAAGGACCTTCACGTCTACACCTGAAAAATAATTGAAACTATGCGAGTACTAGCTGGCCCTCACAGCAGGGGATGTATATTTCGATCCTTTAATATCAACAGCGCAGCAGGTTCCTGTCTAAAAGGTATAGTACGTTTTAATGTATGCCTCCGGACGCCTTTCGCAGCCGAACTCCCCGCGTCGCTTAAGCCCCCACTAGATTATTTTGGTCATTGGTGTGGCCCAGGGCGACCGTGTTGACCGGAAAGCTGCTAGTTTTTCTCTTTACTCTGGCTTCTAGGAAATTGCTGTGGATACTGATTGAGAGATCTACTAAATACTCAAACGCCTGTTCGTTGTATGTGAATTTTTGAGGAATTCTAAGGTGTTTGGAAAACTCAGCTCCTTTTATTCATAGGGCAAATGACTACCTCTAAAGTGCAGCGAAATACTTCAGATTAGCAAAAGAATGAGGACTCGAAAGCAAGTGGCATCTAACTCGTGATATGCGGTAAGCATCCAAAAACCGGATTAGAAGTTAGCTGAAAATGGGGTAGTTAAAAACGCGATCAAATCTTGGGCACAAAATGACACCCCCTAGGCCTAAAGGAATGGAGGCTATCGAATCACAGGGTCTAAGCTCACTTTTTCCATCTGATTCTCCTCACCCTCGGAGAATTGTTTCAGCTCTTCAGCCGTGTGGAGAAGTACAGTGCCCTTTGTTTCGGTTTGGAGCGCTTCCAAGGGACACGAATAGATAGCAATTTTGGACTGATTTACTTCTTTAACATCGCCCTCGACATCCCTCCGGAAAACCATGCCTTTGACCAGAGAAGAGCTGTCAACACCAGAACCCTGTAAAGAGCCAACACATCCCGAAGGAAATGCGATAAGGGGAAGGTGGTAAAATAATGCAGGGCGTGCGCACAGAATGCGCGATTAGAAAACCGTGAAAATAAGAAACACTGATATGAAGTGCAGTGAAGGCATATCGACGTACTAGGACTTTGAGGACGCGCACATTGTCGACATTAAAGTCCCCGTCATCCGGCATAATTGAGACTAAAGAAATGGTGAAAGCTAACAGAACATACTGCAGGCAGACGCAATGAGGTCGGACAAGAACTGACTGATATCAATTTGTTTGCTCATAATAGACGTCTTAATCAGAGGCGCAACTTCAGATTTATCTCTGCAGTTCTTGACTTCCTTCACGACGATTTCTAAAAGAATTGGAGCCAGAAAACATCGTACCATCAAGAAACTCCAGTGCTTTTTTCGAAGCCATCTCGTAACCCTCGATTATCTGAGCTACGGAAAGACCCTGGAAGAATTAATTATCGGACTTGATCTTGCCATCTTAAGCAGGTCGCGCGCGTTATCTAGGAGGGCACCTGCCAGCTGAAAAACAATATTCGTCCCGTCACCGGCTTCCTGTTCTTGTTGTTGCGTTGCTAGGATCAACATTTTGGCCGCCGGGTGTTGAACTTCCAGCTCGCGAAGAATCGTTGCCGCATCGTTCGTGACAAACTGCTTCCCTATGTGATTAATTACAATCTTGTTCTGGCCACTTGGACCATAGGTGGAACGTGTGGTTTTGGCAATGGCAACACAAGCCTCAATGTTGCGAAAAACTGCTTCTTCGAGGCCTTCAAAGTGCTAACAAATATATTTAGGAAATAAGCTCATGTATATGTACCCTCGTGCCCTCTTTCAACATCGAAACATAATTCGGGACTTTTGGGACATGCAGGGCCATCTTGCAAACGTCCGATAAACCACGCCAAGTGTTGCCAAAAATTGCCCAACAACTAGCTCCGGCTAAGGCGAACTCTCAGCTGATTGGTTGGCGTTGGACGCGTTCATTGGGCAAACATTCGACACAGCCAGCCATGAAAGCTGTCCATCAATAAGTCCAAAGTCTTCTACAAACCGCACTCCAATCCGAGCGCCGAAAGTGGCTCATGGAGCCCCATAAATATATTTCAATGTCACAGGTTAACCACATAAACGCTAAACGTGAACATGAAAACGCTGAACTGTTTTAAAAAAGGATCGCGATCACAACTGTTGACTTTTGCAGTCAACCACTTTTATACCTCTGTGCGACATGACCTCTTGTCCGATCACTCTTGTGAAACATGCCATACGCCTTTTATGCAAATACCCATATCTCTTTGCAATAAGCATCCGTTTTAGTCGTGCTTTTTTTAAGGTGACACACAGACGACTCTTCGCGAAATTGGAGGCTCAAGGAGTTCGCGGTCCCATTATTGACCCATCAAGTTGTACTTATTCAGTCGGAAGCGAAAGGTCTTAGTGTAATCCTCACTGTCAACTGAGAATGCAACTGTAATCTGCGTCCATCAAGGCACTCGCAGACCCTATTTTGCTTTATGTTTATGATAATTCATCGGCAGGTAGACAAGC